CACACACACACACACACACGCACATACACACGCACACACACGCACAGGAGGGAGCAGGAATTTCGTAGCATACTTTCATGGGCAATTGATAAGCAGTCGTCGTCCTTCGCCAGGGAGTTGGTTATGGTTAAAGTTTCTGCGGTTGTTGTTGCAGCAGCGGCGGCTGTTCTTGCCACATGTTTTATGGCTGTCCACTTCCGCCAGAGGAGTGGGAGAAGTGGAAGTGGAAGTGGACGGCCCCATAGAACACATAACCTGACCCTGCGGCTCCACTGCGCCCAATCAAGGAAAGTGTTAAGGTTTTTATGCTCTAACCACATGAAATCACTCACAGCCCGGACTCAGAAATATTCCCAATTTCTAGCCCAATTGAAACTTCTTGATGATGTGGGGTTGCGGCCATTTATGGCTAATGATTTAGTGGCTTCGATTGATTTATGGCCATTGCAGCCCAGTCAACGCAATCAGCGGAAATGACTTGGTTTCTTCGATGGTGTTCCATACTCCTGCATGTTCAAGTACACTCGAACATTCCCAATTAGGAAAAACTCTTTTTATGCCGTACATCCCCTACAAAACTTGCATTATTATTGTATTTTATCTAATATATTTGAACACTTTTAAATTGGTTTCTTTTACAGAAGTTTGTCTGCATTTCAGTGACTTTTCTCTAGTGCCCTAATTTTTGTTTTATCATTTTGGGGTTATATTTGGATGCGTCTCCTTTGTTTTGGCCCCCAAATAGCCCCTTTTGTCCACTGGTTTTTGCCCATTCAACCTATTTTTCCCCTTGTCACTTCATACAAAACTCAATTAATAAAAGTTGACGGCGCGCATTGAGCGTAAAACTGCGTTGATGAGGCATAAAAGTGCTTTAACCCTTCGCACACACTCCTGCCAGTTGGGGGCCCTTAACACCCACTGGTCGGGCTTGATGTCCAACGAAAAAAAATATTTGATAACATTGCCGCCATCGATGAAACTCTCGAGTGGGGACAACCGCCATTCGACACCCCTCCCTGCATAAAAAATTATGCAAATGAATGGGCCAACCGGGGGTGGGGGGTCGTCCTGCTAACGATGCTTACCATGAAAAAAAAGCGAAAAACAGAAAAGGAAGCACAATGAAAATCCCCGAAACAATAACAATCCGCTGATGATAATCTCCAGGCAGGTAACGAGCCAGCCCTGGCTTCCGTCTGCCGTCACGCATTCCTGGCTGCCACCCACCCCCCTCCCCCAGTCGGCTTCCATCCCTACTTCACCCCTGTTCCAAGCACTCTAAGCTAACCCCCCTCCCCTAATACATAACCCACAACCACCCTGACACCCCAGCCCTTCATTTGTGCTTCGTGTTTTATGTTAATGAATTTATTTATTATTATTTCATGTTATTTTTTTGGTTTTTTTTTTCGGAGGGGACCTTTTTTTCCTGTGCGTAGCTTCGCCTTGTTCCGGTAGGCCCTGATCCAGAGCCCAGTAATTTAATGTGGCCACCGCAGGAAGTGGGAAACAAGGGAACGACGGGCATGTCTGTCGTAAAGGGGCAGCATTCCGCATACGCCACGTGGGCTATCAGGGGGAGTCAGGGTTGCCAGCCTTGGGAGGGTTGCCACCTCGCGCTCCTTGACAGGAAGAGAGGATCAGCCCAGCCGCGAAATAACTCCTTCTTCTGGCGGATGAGCCAAGACAGAAGCCCCCGCACGTTGGGGGCTAATTACAAATGGAGCATTTAGGGAAGAAGGATGGTTGGGGCACTGCTGCATTACCGCTCCCCTTTAGCTAATTATTTAAAATGCTCGGCGACATTAAAAAGCACTTTCGCCTCGCAATGATAATCACAAAATGTTCCCGAATTCCCCAAGTCCCTTCATGTTGTACTTTGTGGTGCTTTTGTGGCTTTTTTGATAATGACGCTGATTAGTCAGCGCTTACGACAACTCGGCAATGTCTTCTTCGTGTTTCCTCCTTTTTACACACCCCCCCCCCACCCAATTTTTTTCTTGGTTTTGTATCGCAAAATCTTGGGACAGAACGAGGGTGAGCCGGAGGATTAGCAACTTATGGGAACTTTAAAATTAAGTTCCCTCGACTGTCTGTGACGCAATCGGGTCGACCGAAAAAACGGAATGGAAATGGAAACTGTGTTCAACAAAAACCAAAAAAAAAAAAAAAAAAAACAACTAAATTTGATTGATGGCAAAGAGTTTTGTTTGCCGCTAGTTTTCTTTCACTGCACTCAACTTGGACATATAAACTGAGCAGAAATATTCCCATTTCCATTCCATTTCAATTTTCATTTCCACTTGATCATGGTGGGGAGCAGAAGGAGGTGGGATTGGATTGGGTTGGAAAATTTCATAACAAACAAACAGAAGTAAAAACAAACATTGAACCGTCTGACTCATAAAAGTTTAGTTCGTCTAATTGCAGCTGGAACTTATTTGGCTTTGCTTTGGATTTTGATAAATTGGCCATTTCCATCTGAATGGATAAACACACAAAGTGTATCCACACGCGCGATCCGAAGAGTCTTTTTTTATGAACTGGTCCAAGGATCCGCGAGAATCCGCAGATGTCTTGCTCCCGAAATTAACACCTCGCCGTCCTCTGGAGGGCAATAAAAGCTGATGCGGCCACTGGCTGGGCAATTAACATGGCATGGCAACAACTGGAACAACAACTCTGCCAGCGAGATGTGTACAAGTACAGTGCGGTTCGAGGGTGTAAGGCGGGCAATTAATAGATTCAAGCTGAAAACTTTGAGTCGCTAGAAATATTAGTACATGTTCAGGTTATACACCAATATTTGTGGCCAGTGATAAAGTTGCTGTGATTGCGTACGTATTACAATAAAATAAATAATTTCTTGAAACAATTAAATAAATAAGGAATTCAATATTAAAGCAATTAAGCAATATACTTAATTATATCAAAATTGCTTTGATTTATGGTGAAAAACCTAATTTTTTTTTAATAATAATTACTTGAGAGCCTAAACTTATGGAGTAAGTACTTGTAATTGCTAAATTGGCTGTTTTCATTATCTGCTTGAAATAAAAAGTAATGTAAAATGTACAAGGTACCGTTTTCAGGAATTTAGAGTTTCTTAACGCCTGTTGTTTTTTTTTGGAGAGACGAGTTGCTTGCCTTACACTTTTGCACCGCACTGTAGGCATATGGAAAAATTTAAATTTCCAGCAACGTAACTCGAACTGAACTCGCTCTTCCAGTACCGCCGACGCCCACCCACTTCGATGTGGTTTCAGTGCCCGTCCCTGCCCCGCCCCTTTTACAACCCCCTACCATCCCCGCCCCCGCCCCCGCAACTCTCTGCTTGTCTTTGTCTTTCTGTGTGTTTTCAGGGGGGTTACGTCATTGAGGGACACGCAATGGCAAATGTTTGTATTTTTATTATTATCGTGTTATGCCATGTATTTGTTTGTTTGTTCGTTTGTTGGATTGCTGGATTGTTACCCAGCCGCGTCATAGAGTAGGGATCCAAAAAGGGAAGGGAGGGAGGGGGTGGGGGGATTGGTTTCGAAGAAAAGGACTCGCTCTTGAGGTGCGTCCGCCGCTGGCTGGGAATACGCTCGTACGCACTTCCCCCGCCTTCACGATTCCGCGTATCTGCCGCTCTGGCGATAAAGTTTTTTCCCCGCCAACTGCTGCTTTTACACGGAGAGAAAACATGCCAAACATTCGACTCCAATCGATCTCCTTTTTCTAGCAAAAATTAACATTAAATATAGTTTTGAAATACATTATAATTTACTGTTCTCAATAAGTTGTAAATAAATTGTTTGGGGGATCGAGGAAGATTGCTTGTAAAAGTATGAGCCTTGTGTTTATCCTTAGTAATTTTGGGACTTTTGCACAACTTATTGTGAAGTACATTTTCGAAATATGGTTATTAAGTCCAAATTGTGTCAGCTTACTAGCTTGTTTTATGATTTGGAAAAAAGATACTCAGATAACTATTATAAAATATTATTTTCTGAGATTCTTTTTGATATGAAAAGGTCTTCAATATATATTATCTTATTTTACAACCCCACGTGACTATTTTTAATTGATTAAATATTATAAAAAACTATAAAACTAATCTAACATTGTATAAAATTGGGGGGTTCTACTGGAATGATTTTGAAATATTTCATTAAGTTAAGTTTCATTAGTTAAGACCTAAACATTAATTTAATTTAGGAAAATAAAGAAAGAAAAAGAAAAAAACGAATAAACATTATCCACGGAGGTGAACTCAAATTCTAAAACTTAATCAAACTAATGAAAAAATATGTGTTCAAGTTCCGGGAAATGTTGAGTTTTCACTAGATGGTGCTGCTATTCTGGCTGTGTGCTAAAAAGTGGGGGAAATTTATCGCTAACTGCTTGGCTGATTGTCCCAGTTCTTGTTCGACTTTTCCCTGCTCCTCGTCGATTTGGCCTCTTATCTAAGACCATTGCCAGCTTTTGGTAATTGTCGAAGTCTCCTGCTGCTGCAGGACTTGTGTCCACGGGTTTTTCATACAGTGTGTAATTCACCACCCCTTTTTCCGTTTTCTTCTGGCACTGGAGTGGAGTTTTCATTATTCCGCTGGATTTTTTGGTCCTCCGCTGGTGCTACTCTTTGAGTTTTTGTTGTAAGTTCTTGCAGCTTTTAACACGCATACAGAGGCGCCTCAACACGCACACTACCAGGCGAGGAAGAGAGCGGAAGAGCACGTGTGTGTGTGTGTGTGTGTGGTGAAAAGCTTTGGTGCCTGCGCCTTCGTCATCGTTTCGTGTGGTGGATTCGGGCTTGCCTGCATTTGTGTGCGTTATATAAGTCGGTTATGAGTCGCGAGGCGAACCCCCCCTCCCCCTCCCGTGAGATATCGGTGCCGAAAAACCCACCACGGCCCATTGAGAATTTTACCAAAAAAGTTCTCAGTTGTTGATAGCCAGCCGTATATTCCACCGTATTCCGTTTGCCTTTTTGCCGTGGATTTTGCAGAGCGCTTTCAGTCGCTGATTTGACCGCCAAACAAACGCAACGCAGCTCGGCTGGTTTTTCAAAACGCCTCGAAAAAAAGGCCAAAACGCGCTCTTCGGTCCACAGAAATCAACAACAGCAACAACAATAACAGCCGCCTCTGGCAGCAACCAAATCCAACAATAACAAAATAAAGCAATTACATGTAGTTGATTTGTTTTCCTTTTTTTTCAAAGTTCTATCCAGCAAATAGTTGACACTTTTTTTTCGGTTACCAAAAAAAAAATAAAAATAAAACAAACAACAAACAACATACAAAAAGTAAGCAATAGTGCGAAAATTAAATGAAAACATTACGGACAAAACAAAAATAATAGTTGTGCTTAAAAAAAATCAACAAAGGGATTAAGTGTTTATTTATATTTGTGTAGCATACTTTTGTGCGGCAGTCAAAGATTAATTTACACAAAAGGGACACCCACACACACACACACACACACAGCGAAAGAGATGGCAAGATAGGCGCCAGAAAGAGACGGGAAGATGAAGGTTACTTTCGCATTTATGCATATGGGATGGCTTTCGGTTTGGTTGGGGTTTTTAGTTTTGGTTTTGGTTTCGCCATTCGTTATGCTTACAAAACTTGACCCAAATTTACGTTTTGCGGTCCAGCAGCAGCCGCTAAAAAAGGGCCCACGGGGGGGGGGGTGGAGAAGGTAGGTGAAAGTGGGGAAAGTGGGGGCGGCACCGACAGCGAGACAGCGTGGAAGGATTATGTAAACAAAAATAGGTTTCTCCCCCTCTCTAGTCCGTGTCGCGACGCTCAGACTTAGCCTCCAAGGACTCGGTGTGGGGGGGGGGGTATTACTCTGTTACTACCGCACTCGTCCCATCCCCGCACATCCATCAATGGCCGCAATCATCCGCACACAATCCGTATCCGTCCGTAATCACAAATGCAGCGCTCTCACCTTGCGTGCCATTTCCTCGTTTTGGCCACGATTCCTGCTGACTTTTTGTTCGAGTGACAAAACAAAACACGGCTACAAAATGCATTTTAATTTGCATCAATTATTTGATAATTGGCCATTGGCGAGAAAATCCCGGAATCAGCACGAAAACAGGCGGCGATGGCAAATGGGAATCCGAAGGATAAGATCTCTGCCTCCCTCATTTGCAAACAAATTGGGCAATCTGTCGCCATTTGACGTTCTTCAAAGTGAGATATTTGATTCCGAGAGAGATGTCCGCAAAGTGTTCTTATATAGCTTCAAAATGTATGTTTTGGGCAAATAATCTCAAAATTGTTATTTTTCAACTAGTTGTATTTGTCTCATATTGAAACCCTTTCAAAATGTATTATACGAATTAATACTAAAATGGCCTTTTTATTAATTTGTTATTGCCAGTTATTAAGTATTCGCAAAGCCTTTTAAATTTCGGAGGTTCTTTAGCAAGACATAAAATTTTTATTTTCCAATTTATTTATTTATTTATTTATTTAAATGATTTTCGTTAAATACGGTTTATTTATTATTCTATTCACTATTTATTTTATTAATATTATTATGTTGTTTTATGAAATATCTACCCAAATGATTTCCATTTATCTAAATGTCTGTTAAATTTCATTTATTTGCTTAGAGCTAATATTCCAATCACCTACGTGTTAACTCAAAAACAAATAGCCTTAAACGAAATGATGAATTTGAAATATTTCAGCTACTTTATTTATTTACTAGCTTGATTTAAAAAACGAATATTTAAATTTGAAAAGCAGCATTTATTTGCCAAGACCCAACTTTATTTATTTGTTGAGTAATTTTAGAAAATATATTTGGTAACCAAATAGTTTGCAAATATGAAAATTGCATGATAACTTTTACTGCCATAAATATTTCAATTATAATAGCAGCATTTATTTGCTAAGACCTACCATCCCAATCACAGTTTCCTCCAAGGAATTCCACATTAAGTGCTCTGAGGAATTTCCATTGCCGAGATGAGTTTCGCCTCCGTCGCTTCGCTCTGAGCCTGTTCTAATCCAATCGCCTTAAGGTAGGCACTGACATTTAGGCAATCCCTCGCCAAGTTGATTGCAATCCACCCATCTCCTCCTTTATGCCTCCTTCCTTCGGAGGACCTCCTCCTTCGGCTGCCCTCGAAATCTTCGAGAGTTGTGCATTGTTTGCATCGAGCCTTTCGCTTCATATTCGGGGCGTTTTTGTCATTCATCCTTTTCGGTGCCAGTGGATGTAAAAATTAATTTACCACCTCCGCTGGTGATGCGGGTAGACAGCCGTTGTGGGCTCCGCATCTTCAGTCTTTTACCCCTCTTCTCCTGGCCATCTCAATCTTTATTTACATTTTTACACAGGCAAAAAACAGTTATATCATTCAGAAACCACTCATTTAAACTGTAGCTCCGAAACGATAAAAGAATCATATGCTTTGGTATTTCGTTGTCAAGTTTGTTTAGCCTAATAAAATATTCCTTGCAGTCCACTTAATTTGATTGCAATCAACAAAATTGTGATTATAAACTAGCATGTTTCGCGTATCATTTAAAATGCATTTGGATTTTACAAACTAAATATAATGAAATGGAAAAGTTCACTGAAAACCGGGGTGGTATAATCTTGGCTTTCTTAAATTCTGATTGTATAGAGCGCTTAGAGATTTTATTTTAAAATTCTGTAACTTATGCAAATGTTTGAATGTTTGGATTTAATAAGATTGAATCCAATCCCAAAATAATTATTTTTATGCGTGTAATTCAGCTTTCGGGTATCGTTTACAATCCATTTCATTCAAATAACTTTGCGAGAAGCTCCGTTCTATTCACCGCGTTTCGATCCTTAAGCCATGCCCATTCCCATTCCGTTCCCCCTTTCCACTTTCAGTTTCCCCACTTTTGTTGGCGAGTGTAGATGAGTGCGAGAAAAGTGTTGCATGCTCGCGGGCTAAACGCGAGATGAACACGCAACCGAAGGATAAAGGGGGATGTGGATAAGGTGGGGGTGTGGCCAAAAGAAGGGGGGGAAGGGGAGGCTGAATGACAACAACAACACAAACAACAGCAACAACAACAGCAAAAACAACAACTGCATCAGGCAGCATAAAAAATAAGCACACACAAGGAGGCGAGAAGGAAAGACACATTCAGACAGATAAACGAGTCGAGTTACAAGCCAGGACTTTTTGGGGCAAAAAGGAAAGAAGAGGGAGGGGTTGGGGATGGTGGTGGGGGGGGGAGATAGCGAGGACCTCCTTCTATCTCCATCCCTGTCTACCTATTGCCGTCTCGCTCGTTGGCACTGCATTAGCAGCCAGCTGTGAACGAAATAAACGTAAAAATATTTTTAGTGTGAACAAATTTCAGCTCGTCGCTCGTTGTAAAAGGCAATACAGAATGAAACTGAAATACTGCGACAAACGCACACAGGTAAACGCACACCCACACACACTGGCAAGAGCACACCTGACATGATAACACACACACACACACTCACACACAGAAAAACAGACACAAACACACCGACAGAGACAAACTGTGTTTAGTTAGCAAATGCCAATGGCTCATGTTCGCAGAAAAGAGAAAAAGGGAAAAGGAGGGGAGGAAAGGGGTGTGTGGGTGTATCCCTAGGTGTTGGTGTGTGTGTGTGTGCGACAGTTTTGTAAACAAACAAAGTCAAAAGCAACAAGAATTTCACCCAACTTGAACGAAGATATTGAGGGTCTCTACAGCGAGCAAGGCTTTACATAATTGTGCCCACCCTTATAATAAAGGAGTTCATTAAAAGCGAAAGCAGGTGACCCCATTACCTGAAGTAATCCTCCATATTTGCTTTTCTCCGGAAAGAATATTGAAGCCCTTCGCCGTTTTCGTAGGCATCCATTGGGGGATCTTATTAGATCTTAAAGAGTCCCATTCAAAGTGTTATTTAATGACAGAAATAGTTATTTGTATTTTTTGGATACCTTGGTTATAAATGATTTCACAACATTTTATTTGGCTACATTGTGTGAGCCAATCTAGGCTGATATATTTTTTTATTTATGGTTCACTTAGAAGGGATACTACAGGTTTACACAGTAACAGTTAAAACAAGAGAGAACGCTATAGTCGGGTGCCCCGACTATCAGATACCCGTTACTCAGGTAAAGGGAGTGCGAGGGAGATGGAGATAGAAACTTTGATCACGCATAACTTTTTAACGAATGGTCCGATTTGAAAAATTTCTTCTACATTTCGATAGGTATTGATAAACACAATAAAACTGCATTTTTACTTTTCCGAAATATTTAAATTTTTAAAATCGTATATAAGCGATTGTGGGCGTTAAAGGGGGCGTGGCACCTTTTTGAAACAAACTTGCGCTGCGTAGGAACTCCTAGAATCTGCATGCAAAATGCCAATCTTCTAGCTTTTATAGTTTCCGAGATCTCAGCGTTCATACGGACAGACAGACAGACGGACAGACAGACGGACAGACGGACAGACGGACAGACGGACATGGCTATATCGACTCGGCTAGTGACCCTGATCAAGAATATATATACTTTATAGGGTCGGAAACGCTTCCTTCTAGCTGTTACATACTTTTGCACGAATACAATATACCCTTTTACTCTACGAGTAACGGGTATAAATATTTAAGGGGAAAATAGTTAGGATTTCTTACTTAATTCCAATACCTATAAAGATTTTTCTTTGATCTATTAGTGTTGGTGAACATAGTTTATATTCCCAATTTTATGTTAGCTTTATCCACGTAACCGATATTCCCAATATTGCCTGTAGAAAATTGACTTAAAATTAAAAACTCAATAGCTTGGATTCCGATTTGAAAGTAGCATTCCCCAAAAAGTTATATAATAATCTGCAAGTTAACCATTTAAATTTTATATTGGACCATTTTCATCTCAGCAGTTTTTAAGATCTTTAAACTTCAAGAGTCCATATGTTGATCCATCGAATACCGATTTCAAAGTGGTTTACCAATTTTATGTACAATTTCTGTGATGAGGATTTTAAAATCGAACAGTGATAGAAAAGTGTTATAACTTGTTGTTGAGATCGGAAAAGTATTACATTTAAAGAGCTAACTATATTTATTGCTCCCCAATAAATTAAAATTTGAGTTCTTTTGGGAAGGGATAAGCTGGGATTGCTGCCGGAGAACACTAGTTCTGTCACGACTTAAAGCTTCTGACTTCCCCTCGGGGATTGAGTGTTTTTGATTTCGTTTCTGCACTTGATGCGAGCGTTTTGCATGCGACATCTCGGTGGGACTGCATCTGAAATTAACAGAATTTATTTCATTGCATACTGCAGTCCCCTTTTCCTTTCGCTTTCCCCGTTTTCTCTGGAGGGAGACAAAAAAAAAAAAAAAAAAAAAACAAAGGCAACTTATTTTTATGCCATTCGCGTCAACCGCAGAAGGCAACAGAGAGAAGCACCCAACCCCACACCCAAATTCACCCCTTCGGCACACACAGGGTTAAGTTTTTTATGCGCTTTTGTTTGCATCCTCTGCAGCGGGCCACGCCCCTCTCCCTGCCCCCCGCCTCCTGCTACACGGTTTTTTTTTTGTTACCAACTGTCATGAAAAGTTCGAGTCGAGAGTTGACCTGAAAAGTGTCGCTCTGTGTATTTTTATGCCTTTCTTCCCCCGATAACCCCCTTCGCTGTGTGCTTTCCCTGCCACGCCCCCCCTTCTGCCACGCCCCTGGCCTCGTTATAATCATCGACGTGATGGTTAAAGTTCGACTTTGTTGTCTGGAAAATCACTAATTGAACATAGCCAAAAACTGGAAATAGTTTTTAATCAAAATCGGGACATGGGGGATTATCGATAAGTTTGATGGATGAGTCTCGAGGGTCAAAAGGATACAAGTGGGCTTGGGGCATCCTTCGGATAAGATCACTTCACACGCCCTTTTTGAGCCCTCCTCAAAACTTTTGAGTCGAGAAAAAGTGCGGCAAACTTTTCATAAACTATCTTCGACAGATATCGAAACGGACAAAAAAAGTGTATATATATATATAGATTTAATATCAGCAAATGTGCTGTGAACTTGTTTCCATACTTTCTTCTTTCTTGGCATTTAATATTTTTTTATAGGAAAATTATAAAGCATATTAAAATACTTATGGCAAAGTTTTGAATACCCAAAACAAAAGCAACAACAAAAAATAGTCAAACAAAAATAAGCAAAGTAAGTCGAACTTGCGCAACAAAAAAGTTTGCCACTAAAAAGCAATAGCAGTCAAGTGCAACAACAACAGCAGGAGCAACAACAACAGTAACTAGGGGAGTCGCCACAAGAACAACATGGGAAAAAAGAGCTCCAAGTTGAAACAGGATACCATTGATCGCTTAACAACGGACACATACTGTAAGTAAATCGAAAATACCATAATAAACTTGTACTCAATCAAATGGTACAGTGCGTTTCAAAAGCAAAAATATATGTGATATAATTATATATTGAATAGGGATAGAATCTTAAGTATAAAATGAAAGCTCAACTATCATTTTACTATTATAAATATTATGTGTACATATAATTAAATTATTAAACTACCTTTTACTTATTTATGGGTTAAATATTCCTAATGTATAATGTAATGTAGACTTACTAAATATAAAATTATAGTATTTTTAATTGCTTATACAACCTTGTATAAAATTGAAAGTTTTATCAATATTATTGATGCCAAATTTTCATATTACATCGTTTAATAAAAAGTATTGTAGTGCTCATTATTATGCCTACGTCAATATAAATTTCGGCTTTTTATAAGAATTTAAATTGATCATTTAATCCCTGGCCTTGTTTACAAATGTTCACATATACCCTCAGGTTGAAAGCTGCCTTAATAAACACTATATCAATTCCACATCTACCTTATTTTATTATTTTTCCATTCGCAATGTTTTCCCCGCCCTTTGATTTACCTTGTAATAATTCCGTTTCCTTATTTATTTATTTGTTTGTTTTGCCCGGGCATTTATGCGAGGCAGCATTGCCTTTCGTTATTTTTGCCCCAACTCATTTCCCATTTCCCCGATTGGCGTTTTCTCATTTTGATTTGATTTTGTTTTCGTTTGCCCAAGCATCAATCAAAATACGGAAAGGTGCAGACATTTTCCGCGGCAGACCCGCTCCACACATATTCGTTTCTGCCAGATAAATGCATAATTCAAAAGTGTTTTCCCCGAGAACTTATTCATCAGCGAGGCGGACTAACTGACTCATCAGTCATGGGGATGGCAATAAAGTCACCCGACTGACGGCAAACATCTGAGCCCGATTCGATTGAGAAACTTGGGATTAGCCCTCCCAACTTCGGTGCATAAATGGAGAATGAAGTGCGATGGATTCGTTGGTTATTGAGTTCCCGTTCCCTGTTCCCCGTTCCCCGTTCCCAATTGCCAGGAGAATCTGGAGAAGCACTTGACATTTATGGTTTAATTTTATCGCTTTTTCCCCAGTAGCCACTTTGGCTGCTACTTTGTTATAAATTGACATGTTATTGTTGCTGTAACTGACAGCTGCAGTTATTGCTTCTTTGAGTTGAGTTTGGCTAAAAATAGCGAGGTTTGTGCACTTCTTTTGTTGGCCAATCACAGTAATGCTAGAATTTAATATTGGATCGTATCTTCAAAGGATATAATGGGCATATTATATCTGTAACTCACAGCTGTTGGTTACGGAACAAGATCTTTATCCAATACATTTCTAAGAAAATATGTAATGGAGCTGGACATTTTGGATTGTGGGTTGCAGACATGAAAGTATTTTTATTTACAGCTAAATTAATAATTAAGTAATATGGAAAATGCCTGTTACATTTGATAGGACGTCATTAAAAGGACAAAAGGAAATTATTGTTACCCTTGCAAATTGTAACCCATACTTAGGTTATTATCTCGCTTACCTATTAATAGTTTCTGACATTTTAATGACCGTCTCTTGTTTGCAACCCCAAGTGCATTATACATTTCCAATATTATCTTTCAACCTTTCCGACTTTTAGAGCTGCACTTTTAATATAGCTAATTTGAGCTCGCTTTTTACGACGTTTTCCCCCATTTGCCAAAGGTAAACAATAATTGTATGCTTTGTTGCCTCGTTTTACCTTTATATTCACCTCCACCGTTTGTGGTTACCTGTTGTGGCCGATACAATGTGTTTTGTTAACTGTTACTATTAGTTACACCTTTATTTTACGACACTCTTTGCGTTCCCCCTGCTTTGTATCTTCTAAGGGGAACTTCTTTTTCATTTGCTCCTTTTTTTTCTGCTAAGCAGGACATTACATTTACTTAGCTGGTTCTTCTGCTTTTGCTGCTTTTTGTTTTGGCCATTTTGGCTCCTTAAAAATGCAAGTCAGAAACTTTTCGAGCCCAAAACTTTGTGACTAATTGCTTTCGTTTTTCCTCCCTGTATTTTCTTATTCTGTGGTCCGCACCGAGGTCAGGGGTTAACTGGGGGGTTGGGTGTAGGTCGTATAAATAATTACCGCTGGGCATTGCGGGCACCTGGCCAAAAGGGAAAGGGGCCGGTGGAAAAGTGTTGACAGATTGCTGCCAAAGTTTTCACCGTTTTTTAATGGCTTTTCCTTGAAGTTGTTTGTCTTGGTTGGGCGGTGGAAAATGGATGGGAAAATGCGTTTTCTTGGCCCTGCCTAAAATGAAATTCATCGGACTCTGCTAAAATATGCAACTCAATAATTGTAATCCTCTTCCCTCGAACACTGCAATATCCCCCGCCCCCTCACATATTTTCCGCCCACATTTTCCAACCCCTTGAGCCCATTGTGTGTGTGTGTGTGAGTGTGTGTATGCAACAGCTGCTGCTGCTTGGCTGAGATTTGTTTGGCCAGGCAAAACAAATGAATCAACTAAGGACTCAATTTATTGCCAACGGGTCGTATGAGCAATTTCTGCTGGCATGGGTCAATATTTGTCCTGTCCATTGACATGCCAATCAATTGGACATTAAACTGACCCCCAGTCCCCATCGCCTTAGCCCTCTGCAGCCGTAAACTCACCCCCACTCGCAATGAATTAAGTAAATAAACGGACAGAAATTTGATTAGTTCAGGCGAAGGGCGGTGAATGCAAATTCCCCAGTGCGTTTGGGCCACACACTCCATGTCCAAGGGGTCTCGAATTAGGGCCCAAACGCATAGGTGTTGTTTGCCCAGTTCTGGATAAATTTAATTAAATGTGCCTTCTTTTTGGTTCTGAACATCAGACCGATCACCTTGAAGAAATCAAGGTAAAATGCAACTAAGGGAAGCAAAATTGCAACGAGTTTCGTTAAGAAAACTATGTTAAACTCCACACAGTCTCTACAACATTTATAAAATCATCATAATAATGTATGTGCCAGCTGATGTTTTTCATTTGCTGAATTTTAATTATTTTAAAATTCCAACATAATATCTGATTATTTCCTTGGGAAATAGATTTGAAATTTAAACGTTCATGTTATAATAATATCATTCAATTGGTGGAAAACAGGAAAATCCACCGGTTCCAAGGGTTCCTCGAAATGCCAGCGACAATTGCGCACAGCGGAATGAATATGTTATACACGGTCATCATTCGATGGGGGCGATATACCCCACATCCTTTGGAAAGGTGAGCCCAGTGAGCACCCCCGCAGCATCCTTCGATGCTGATCCGCAATCTTTTCCATCCCAACTTGAGCTGACAGAATGACTCTTGCTATTCGAATGACAATGCAATTCGGAAGGCTGGCAAGGGAAGTGCCACCGATACCGCTGGCAACAAGTCGTATGAGCAATATGCGCTTTATTTACAATCAATACAGGCGAACAACTGACGCCGTAAAAGCGTACAAAAGGGAAAAAGGGAGAAAAAAAGGGAAAAGGGAGAAAAAAGAAAGGCACACACAATGCTGGTCCGTAAATGCCGTTATATTTTTACATGCCACACGTCAATAATACAAGGGGGAGGGGGAGGGGGGCGAGCACGCCTGTCTGTCTGTTAGCCAGGCTATCGATTACCAATCAATTCTGCCTCTGGCGCTGGCTGTGCCAATTGTTGACTTCATTGGATTGACATTCCCTGCGGGATAAGGACAACAAATAATGGATCACAAAGTGGGGGGATAGGGGGGGATGGGTGGGGGCTAAGCCCACGAAGCGCTCATCTTGCGGCTAATTAAAATGCAAATGCTGCTGCGATTCCTTTGGCAGTCAGCTAATCAAAATGAAAAATGATAACCAAGCCGAACGGGAGAAATAGGGGAAGAATATATAGAAAAATCGGATTGAGTTACACTTTGAAAATATGAAATGCATTACCATAGAGTTTCTAATTTTTAGTTAAATCATAAAGTTAACAGAAAGACTGTTCATATTTAAATACCTAGATATAACCCTACGAACTAAAAAGATATTGCTATTAATATTTTTTAAATTAAAAGGGTATTTCGGTGTTCCTAAAATGTCTTAAGATATTATAATTAGATAATAATGAATATTTGTTTGCCCGTTTTTATTAATAGTAAAATATTTTATGAATTTAGATTTCAGTGGGTATATTTTGATTATTGAAATGTCTGAAAGTATGCAATAACTTATGAAATGAAAGTGGCTTTACACAAAATTTCTATGAATGCCTTATACGGGTGTGTTTGTTTTCAGAACATTTTCTTCAGTGTATTTGGATGGGGCTCTAGATGATATATGAACCACAGCGCCATGAATAATGCGAGTGGCCGCTGCAGATAACTGGCAGCCATCGAGTCAATAGCCCGTCTCCAGCTCCGGTTCCAATTGTCCGAATCCCTGGAGGTGTTACTGCCCCTTGCCCCTGCCCCTCCCCCTGCCCCGCCCCCTTTCGCTCCGCCTTCCAAATGGCCGGCCATTGACCACGCAGCACCCCCTCAAAAGCAATTCCGATGTGTGTAATTTTGCGTGAATTTATGTTTTTATTTTTTGTTGTTCTTTCCATTGCCCGCTCCTCCGGCTGCTCCTGGTCAGGGAACATGTGCGCCATTCACACGCCCAGGAGTCGGCGGAGGACCTGGGATCAGGATATGGCCCTGGTCAGGTTGGACATCAGGGGCGTGGGGGCGTGGCCCTCCCGAGGGGGGAGCAGCGTTTAAACGTTTAGTAAACGGCCATTAGGCCAACGGCAATGGCCAAACAAAATGAAAAAAGGAAAACAGAACATTTTATGCCAGCACAACAAAGAAAATGGTTATGCATGAATGGAGGGCGAGAGAAGTGGAGGAGAAAGAGGGCGGAGAAGAAGGAGGAGGTCCAGATGAAGCCCAGGGCGTGGTCGAAAGACAATGAACGATAATTCAGGACTCGAACCGAATGAGTTCAACATTTGCATATGAGAGCAGAGCGGGAGGGCATAGAAATGGATAATGAAGAGGTCATTCCGGGAATGCCCCCCCTTTCCCCCTGCTAACTGACCAAGCGGCAATCAATAATGAATGAATAATTTAGCATCGATAATTTCATTAGTTGTGAAACATAGAGATAATTGATTTATAAACGAACAGTTCCAAATATAATTTATTGTAGTTCCCTGAAGCTACTACTATTTTCTATACAGCGAATTCAACATATCTACAATTATATTTACCAACCTTAGAAATTCTGAAGAAGAAAACATAAAAAAATTTTTAAAAATCATTAAAAATTCAAAAATTGCTAAAAAAAAAATAAAGTTAGAGCAAAACAGCATTTACAAATTTTTGTATGGCTATCATCGAAGCAAAAATCAAGCCGAACTTCGTTTTTTTTATCAAAACTCTGGAAAATAATGATCAAATGGCATCCACAATGGCCATTTTATCAATCATAGCTATATTTATTGCAACTTTTACTGGGGTCTCTCCTTAAATATATAAAAACAGATCTTTGCGATTTGCTTTATTTTAAAATAAATGCACAGTATTTACGATAAGATTCAACTTTAAATGTATCAGGAAAAATACATTTTTCCAACTCGCTTTTTAAAAATAAATCAAATGAACCAGTAACCGTTTGTTCATCTGTATATTTAATGACAGCTCTTGTGTAAATAAGCAAATGGCAAAGTAAGTCATTGTTTATGTCAGCTGGCTGGCTGGCAACCTTTGAAACGCACTGTTCGATTTTATTGGCAACAGAGCCCACATGATTTTTAGCTCAATTAAGCATTTAACCAAATTCGCACAGACCACCTCTGAATAATCCACTCGCACCTTGTAAATATTTCAAATACCGCATAAAAATTTAATCCACTTCTATTTTCTGTTTGTTTTCCATTTGCAGTCACAGAGAAAGAAATACGTCAATGGTGAGTGGGCTGGCAAAAATGCCAGCGGACGGTTGCTGATGGCCGGGAATTAACTAAATATATTCTTGTTTCGGGTAACAATATTTTCGGTACGCCAGGCACAAAGGATTCCTGAAAGACTGTCCCAACGGCCTGCTCACAGAGCAAGTAAGTATCGGATATATCTAATTAATGGGGGCGTGCCACAGAAATCACTTGTAAAGGTGCATTGAAAAATGGAACGTTGTCTTTTGAAATGAATCCAAAGGATTTTGCGGACTCATGCTGTTGCATACTTAAAGACTCATTTTTAAGCAATTTCTGTGGCACCCCCAAATCTTAGGCTTTAAGTCGTGTGTGTGTGTGGCACGCTCCACCTGAGCGAGGCCAATTCATTTAAGTCAAACGGTTAATTAAGTTAATTTTCCGCCTTGCGCCCAACTCCCCCTCTCGATTTACGCCGCCTAATTCCACGACAGCAGCCACATCAGACATGAGAGTCCTTCTGGTCTCCTGGACTCCCTGATAATACAAATGGGGGGGTTGGGGGGTGTCCTGAAGGTTAGGGGATGGCCAAATGTGTTGACGACCCCGACTGCTAATGACATTGCCTTTGTAGATGTTGATGTTGCTGCTGTCGTCGTCGGCTGTTTGTTGATAATGAAGTTTATTAATGCGCGCATTATTCAAACACGAGCTCAGCTCCTCAGTGACATATGTGCCACGCCTCTAATTGATTTATCTGCATTTGTCTTCTGCCCCTTTCCCCTTTCTCCTTTCTCCTTTGTCTCTTTGTCTTTTTCTCCCTCCACTTTCTCCAGGGCTTCATCAAAATCTACAAACAATTCTTTCCACAAGGCGATCCTAGTAAATTTGCATCGCTTGTCTTTCGCGTCTTCGATGAGAACAATGTGAGTATCCCCTCGAAAATCCCCTCCCCAAAAAAAGGGGGGCGGCCACGCCCAGTTCATGACCCACACTTTTTTCTTACGAAGTCAGATTTCCCAAAAAAATTGTAGATTGTCAATTAATGTTTGTTAAAATGACACTATTCCATATATTTAGAACTCCTTAATTTTTTTATATTTTAATTTAATTTCTTCACCTAATTTAGGTAAGCATTTGTACTACAGAAGTTTTATTTAAAAAGAAAACAAATATTTGTAAGCAAAACAAAATATGTGTACAAATTACTCATTTATTTTTATAGAATAAACATATTTTCTGCCTTGAGTATTTGCCGAATTAGTTTTTCCATTTGGCGAGTCAAATTTGTTATGAGGAATAAAACACAAGGATAGGAATATTAAAGTGATATGTAAATTATTTTTTGTTGTCTCTTTCTAAAAACAGAGTGGGGCTTATTTTCTTTTGAGTGTGCTGACGTTGGCTAAAAACTTGAGACGGCCACAAAATAAACTGATTTTAGCAGGTTAATGTCCTGCTCTCACCGCTGTTCACCATTTATGGGATGGGCGATCATAAATTTTGGGGAGCTTTTGTTGTTTTTCGTTTTTATTATTTATGGCCCATGGGCGTGGCCTCGCCCCTTCTACCGAGTACCCCAACCACAGAATGTCAACTGTCTGATGTCTGCACTGATTTGCTTTCTTTGTCTCCCTCTCTGTGTGTGTGTGTGCCTCTCTGCTTCTGTGTGGGTGCGTTCTTTCTTCTCGCTCTCTCTCTTTCTTTTCTCTTGCTCTCCCCTTCGTTTTTATGGGTCTTCAGGATGGCTCCATTGAGTTTGAGGAGTTCATACGCGCCTTATCCGTCACATCGAAGGGCAACCTGGACGAAAAACTGCAGTGTAAGTGGTGCCATATTTTTGGACAAACCTTTGGTTAAAAAGCCAAGAGTCGATAAATATTTTTATTATTATTTTGGTACTATCATTTATGCCTTAACCACAGGGGCCTTCCGTCTATATGATGTGGACAACGATGGCTACATAACACGCGAGGAAATGTACAACATAGTGGATGCAATCTATCAGATGGTGGTATGTACCTAACAATGCTCGTTTAACTTCAAAAATAACTCGAGTCTTATGGAGAAGTAGGAAAACTTTTAGCTTTCTTATTTTCAATTTCAACCTATGTTTGTCTGTCAACGAAAAATAGTCCCTCATTTTTAAAACTAATGGGATGAAACTTACCAATAAGCCGGATTGATTGACTATACCATATAGGTCCGATAGAACAATCGGGAAAAAAGGGACATAAAATTAACAACTTATTTTTAAACTTATAAAGATATTCTCCGAGATATGGTAGTTTTAAACAATTTCAGAATTATTTCTTTCATTTTATAAGATAGTCAATTCTTATATAAATTATATAAATGACATTGAAAGGATCGAAAAGTTTATTGGGAAATCGACATAGCTTCATTGTTTACAGTCTCATACGCATACAAATCAAAATACAGAATATTTATTCAGTGTTTTTAAAGTGATAACAAATGCCTGATATGGCAGAATCCTCTAATTCTATTTTCCTTAAACAATCTTCAAACACAGGGACAGCAACCGCAATCGGAGGACGAAAATACGCCGCAGAAACGAGTGGACAAGATCTTCGATCAGATGGATAAAAATCACGATGGCAAATTAACATTAGAAGAATTTCGTGAGGGTAGTAAAGCTGATCCACGTATAGTTCAGGCGTTAAGTTTAGGTGGTGGTTAAATCGATTAACAAAAACCGATTAACGATAACAGACCCAGAATTCCAATTCCACAAAAACCAAGCGCGCAATAACCCGAACAAACCGATATTGAAATTTGATCAAAACCCGCTAAAAACCAAAAGAAAAAAATTAGTGGGGAGGGGAGGTCGGTACGGTGCCACGCCCACTCCCCTTCGTTTGCATTCGCTTCTTCTTTCTGCAATTTCTCTTCTCTCTACGCTTTTCTCAATTCCCAATTCTCGATTCTCCGCGCGTCGCTTGCGACACTGAAGATGATAATAATTTTTTGATATATGCATAAAGTATAAAATAAAGGAGATGGAAAACCAAATAAACGAACCGAAAACGAAAATGAAATTAATTTTTAAATATACACCAGAATATAAATATATAGGAAATCGTGGCGTAGTCAGAGCGCAGTTCATAGCAATAATGAAAAAAGAAAACAAAAAAAAAAACAAATACTAATTTTAAATCAAATCGAGAGGCGTGAGGCGCAAATCAATTTTTGAAGCATACACCAATTACGAGTAAACTAATTAAACCTACGAATAAATCAGCATAATTATACTATACAATTAAACGATACAATTAGAGCCGAACTAAGCCGACGAATCAACTGCGCAGCCTTCTAAGCAAAAGCTAACGAAAAAGCGAGTTATCTAAACTCGATCCCAGTCAGCTAATTCCACTCACGACAGCCAACAGCAGCCACTATATCCACACCTACTATATATACATATAGATACATGTATGAATCTGAGACGTGGCCGCAGACAGGACGAACAGAGTTTAGAGGGGGTCAAACAGGAGAGGGGAGCTGGCCCAAAAAGGGGTGGCTTAAATAAAGTCACCAGCAGGTCCAACGACTGGCTGATACCCCTTGATTATGGTTACATTCATTTGGAAGGAACTTTATAGCCAATTTTTTCTTGTACGTTGATTTTTCTTCTCGTGAAAGTTGGAAGGACAAAATTAAAATATATAAAAACCTAAAATAATTGGCATTAATTGCGACATTTGACAAACTATATACTATTTTTCTGATATTTCTAACCATTTTACTTTGATATATCACACAAAACGCCTATGTATATTTTTGGCTGTGTCGACTTTTAAATTTTGGCAATCCCTAAGTAAAGTTCTTGTAAGTATAAATATAGTTTTAAAATTTCTGGTGTAAATCAAATTTAATTCAAATAATAAAATTTTTTCTGTATTAAATTGATATTTTGATATCTAAAATTCAGACATTAAATGAGATTTCTTCTCGATACACGTCATAAGAGAAAAGGATTTTCAGACAAGTCTGAGTCCTAGCTCGATACAGCGCGTTTCATAGCCCAAGACAGTGCGTTTCATGACCTGCAGACTAGATATTGCTTAGACAAATAGCTTTTAGGCTTAATTTTGTAAACCATTTGCTGTCGCAACCAGCTGCCTTACAGTCTTGAAACGCAACTTGTTACATCAGTTAACCAGCTCCCTTTGATAAAGAGAATGCATCTGCAGATGAACTTTTGCCATAATCCAAGCAGCAGCGATAACAAAAAGTGTGGCATACCCAACAGGCGCAGGAAAAAGTGTTTGCTTTCGTTTGCTCTCTCTCTCTCTCTCTCTCTCTCTCTCTTTCCACCTCTATCTCTATCTCTTTCCCTCTCTAACTCTCTATCAGTATTTCCTGCTTTGCCTTGTTTTCCGTTAAGCGTTATATGTACGTTATACGTTCCCAACAACAATAACCAAACCATTTACAATAACAACAAGAACAACACGAACATATTGACAATAGGCGAAGCAGGATGAGCAGAATGAGCAGGATGAGCAGGAGGAGATCCGAAGGTCTTGAAAAGAGTGCCCAGAAATAGCTGCGAAATTAAGCCATTAATAAATGATAAACTAATCAAAAAACGCACAGCTACAACCAGAGCCACATCAACAGCCAGAACATGAACATATATATATACACATATGTATATCCTCGAGAAGGAGCAGCAGCAGTTGCTGAACAAGGAAGTTGGAGCAGCTAGGATATATACGAGTATATAACAATGAAACAAATCCATCATACGATTTAATTTCTATTCTATATGCGGTTCAGCTTTATTATTGCATTGATTTTTCAATAAACCAGTTAACCGTTTTACTATTCCGATGACTATCTATAAATACGAATCCCACGTTTTCTCACGCCACCCCCATCTTTAGTATCCTTTGTGTAATCTAGATGTGGGAGATCTTGGCCTCCCCGAAAACATGAACACTCACCCAAAACACCCATACTGTATATCTATATAGTGCCTATGTAGTAGTAATTCTTATAATTTCGCCTGCTTTGCCTTCTTTGAAAACATTCCGAATTGACCGATTTACGTTTATCTTTTCCTATGCTTTCCATGTCTTTAAGCACCGATCTAAAAGAATAAACACGATAAAAATTTAAGAATAATGCCATGCAACCTTAACACTTACCCCAAAAACACCGACACACACACACACACACGCACACATATAGCCACATGTATGTGTATATATATATATATATGCCTAAACTTATATATACCCTATATAGTAAGCACTGCAATCGAAAGCAAGTTAAGGAACTATAAAAAACCGAAAACCAAAAAACGAATACAAAAACGCTTCTATAAACCTCACTGAAATTCTTCAAAGAAAAAAAACCGAAAGATATGACACACTCAAACGCATACTGACACGCTCACACCCATACACACACTTGTACGAGTATATTAACAATAAACGTAATGCGAAAACTTAATCAATAATTAAATAATTCGAAAGTGATATAGCTGACAAAACAAATGTGTCTGTAGTCTAGTAGTTAAAAGAAATTGAGTAAAACGAAACGAAATGGAAAACAATTTATAAATAATATTAACTAATCTATTATATGACAGAGGAAATGGGAGGCGACGAGGAAAGCGCAACGCAATTTTCACGTTGACTTTTTTTTTTGTAAGGAGACGCGTAACAGCTGAAGCGAAAATAAGCAAATCAAACTGTAAATAACACTAAGTGAATCACGCACACCACAACACAACACACTCATACACACACGCGCATACCCACTCACACACTGACAGAAAGAGGAGTACCGAATAAGTTTGTTAACACCAAAATATAACGGGTCTTAAGTAACAAAAAACGAAAACAAAAACAAAAAGAAAATAACACGAAAAACGCAAGAAAATATGAAAAAAATAAAACAGTAAGTTAGAGCAAGGAATTTTTTTTGTGGATTGAATTGGATGGGTTTGAAACGAATCAAGTCAATTGTAATAGCCGACAAAACGAATACGAAAATTATTGAATATTTATATTAATTTACAATGGGCCGGTGAGTTAAGCTTTTACCGGAAAAAAAAGCAGATGAAGTCGAAGATGAGTTTCTTTCCACCGCCGTTGACAAACCACACGAATGTCAAGTTAAATGTTTCACAAGCAATATTTTACATACTTATACATGCATTATATACATATATATATATGGGTAAATATATATAAATAAATATACGATAATAAATATATACATAACTTATATACACACTCCGCAATAAAGAGTCGACGGCAAATTAGAAATAATAATAAAATATTGCATAACAGAAACACAGATATCCAAGCGAAATGTCTGATAATGCGAAAATAAACTTAAAAGCCAGAAGATAGCAAGATGAAGATTATAAAACATTTTTAGTGATATTCTTTAGCAAACTTGAATCTGATTTCTTTGCTAAGAACGAAACGAAATGTATAAAGTCAAGAAGAAGAATTCAAAAACCAAAAATATAACGAAACCAACAATTAAAGCAAAGTGCGTATATTTTACAAAAAAACAAAAGCTAAAAAAGAAACGAACAAATTTTGTTCTCCCATTTACCTTGGCTCGACTTTCCGTTCATTTGTTATCTCCTTTGTACTACTCTATTTACCGTTATTTATCATCATTATTATTCCGATTATTCCGATTGTTATTATTATGATTATATGGCAACGTCGACGATTACGATTATTGTGTAAACACATGCAAAAACTTATAAGAAAACAAAAAAAAAACGAAAACTTTATAGAACATACAAATGAAAATCAAATTCTTTTACCAAGGAAAAATACTTAATTATTTTTTTTAAGTAATCGCCTAAGGGGGAATGGAAAATTTATCTTGTTACTGTCAGAAAATATTACTTACTTCAAATAAAAATTTTAAAGCGAGCATAAGAGTGTCTTTATTGTTCATTTAATAATTAAATTGGGACAGCCAAAGGTGGCTGGAGCCATTGAAATAATTATTTTGATTGAGGTAAGTTATCCCCAAGCTCCTGGGAGTTTAGCCAGATGTTCCAAAAGTGCTCCCCGTTCGGGGACCCTCCAAGTGCATGAGAGTTTCAACTTAATTGTCGAGCTCTTAATGGGCAAGTTGGCTTGGCCTGGCTTTGGCTGGTGAGCATTTTGTTTAATGGCCATTAACTGCTATGGCCAGTCACACGTGGCGTATGCGCAATCAACGGAGACAGCTCTACATGGCGATTACATGGATTTGCCCCCGAAAGTAACGTAACGTATACGCAACGTGAGCACATAAATGTATAATGTTTGCACAAAGCAAACCTCAAGTGTCTAGATGGTCAGTCTGACATGTTAGCAGTTTGTAGCAAGTTAGGTCAACTTTATTTGCCGGATTGATGTCGTACTTAATACTAATTGATGTACTTACATGTCAGTGCTGTGTGTGCGTTTGCCTTTTGAGTGTCCTGCAAATTGATGATGAACTAATTCACTAAAACCCATTGAAAATTGTCAAAAACATTTAAAAGGGCAAAATAACTGGGGGATCTAGCAAAAAATATTCCAATAATGAAATCTACCCTAAAAACATACTTTGCAAAGGCTTAAAAAAGCAAATCAATCTATTTTGTCGAGTTGCAAAAGACTTAAAAATAAGTTTCGGTCCCTTCTAAATAAAAACAGACTTTCTTACCAAGGACTTTTTTAGTCCGGAAATTTTGACAGTGAGAAGAAAACACGTCCCTAAATTAACTTAATATATTTCCCAACCAAACACTACATTTTTCATAATTCTCATGACAGGCCTTGCCGCAGTGTTGACATTTGATAATTTTCATTTAGCTGTTTTTCATTTTGGAGCGCGGGTGCGCGCATTTTTGATTACCTTTTGCGGTTTTTTACGTGCCGCGGGCGTTGGAAATTGGACATGAATTAGTAATGAATTAAGCCCGCAGATGCGCCGACTGAGGCAGCGGCAGCGGCCGCGGCAGAGGCAGAGGCGTCGACAGCAGCAGCGTGTTTATCTAGGCAGCCCAACTATTTATAATAAAAGGCTAGCAGATTAAAAACCAAAATAGATTCTGTATCTGCAGCTGCATCATCTGTATCTGTATCTGTATCCGAATGTATCTATACAATCCGCTTCATTGCTGGGCCAGCAAAAAATGTACGAAACAAATGTGAAAACAATGGAACGCAAGTGAGAAAACGTTCGAATTAACAATTTTTACATTGAGCCCCCTCTGCACGCCCCTGCTCTACACAACTAGAATAAATAAACAGTAATTATAATTGGCCTGTTTCGGATTCGAATTCGATTCTTTTCGGCATCGACATTGGCATGGGCATCGCCGGAGAATTAGTGAGTAAACCGGCGGGCGTTGTTGCCGCAGTCGACGTCGAACCCCTCCCCCCCCCCCCACCACACTCGTAGGTGCGCCCATTAAATTCTCCTCCTATGTACGCAATTGCAAATTTATTCTTCGCGCGTTCGCTGGAGAACTGCAAATTGAAATGGGAAATGGTATGCTAGTTTTGATCCGTCAAGTGATCACCACTTGTTCGTCATCAATGATTAGCGGACATGATCTGATGGGCCATAAACAGATCTCAAGCGACTGTTTAATTGGTAGAAAGGGCAACAATTACAGTCCAATCAAAAAAAACCAATCAATAATCTTATAATAACTTCTGATTCATGTGAGCAATAAGACTGTGCAAGAACAATGCATTTAATTATAGATTTCTATTGTATTTAATACAAGCAAGAATTTGAACTTAAATACTTTGTATACGATACACTATAAATATAAAGATATATTGGTATTGGTAGTCACTTAAAATCTTTAATTATAATATTGGAAAATTTTCTGTTTTGATGTCGGCTAGTGTAGTTCTTAGCTGCGAAAAATATAAAATTCTACTGTAGAATGAACGATAAGACGAATCCAAAAATATCTTAAAGACTTTTCTGTTCTGAGAAGCGAAAAGATGATCCAAGGCAATAAAAAGCTAAACAAATTGATACCGTTCCTATGGAAAGCAATATATATGCTTGCAATTTAAAAATATTGGGAATCGCCGGTGACATGGCGCAATTCACTTTACTAAATCGAAATTTTCTCTACATTGTGAAACTAATCAGAAATTACAATCAATGTTTGTGGATTGTCTTAGGGAAACCTTTAGAATGTTTAATTGTGTTCCCTAAATGATTGGACAGATTGTAAAGTAGCGTTAACAAATGGAAATCTGAAGGGTGTAGATCAAAGAGACTGGTGCTGTTTAGGAGAAGCGTCTGCACAGTTCGTCGAGGCGCCGATCTATCCAACCGAGATACATATAGGAGCAGCCCAATAAACGGTTCGTTTGATTTGCCTGCTGCCGTATCCGTATCTGTATCTGCGGCTGCCGTTTTATTGTTTATTTGCTCGCCAGTTTTGCCTTTTGTTATTCGCCAGAAATTTTTATTATTTACTATATTTAGGCAGAGGCCAAGAGGAAGAGAGCCGGGCTGAGAACCTGAGCAATAATTAGTCACCGCCGAACCACGACAGGCGGCACCTGCAAGAAATGCAAAGTAAATTCTTCAATTGCTCAATTGCTCTGCCAACGTCGGCAGCGCTGCCGACGTCGACAGCGACTGCGACTGAGGCCCAGGGCATTTGTGCGGCTGCTGGCATTCGATTGCCATTCGCACAAGTTGCATGTTCGCGACTCGATTTTCGGTTTCCTCATTGTTTCTTCTGTTTTCTCTGTTTTTTTTTTCGCTTTTTTTTCCGAATATATATTTTTTTTTTGGGCCGCTCGCGTGCTCTGTGCATATTTTAAATCACTTCCTCTGCCAAACTCACTCCCACCACCCACCCCCCCCACCCCCACACAACCAGTGAATTCCAATTAAGTGTGCGCGCTAATGCGATAAACGGTCCTGCACTTTGTTTTTAAGCCAAAGACAAAAAAAAGACTTTGTAGCAGGCTTGTGTTTCTGTTTATGTTTCTGTTTCTGTTTGAGTGGAAATTACATTTATAATTACGCTTAATCAGTTGATTACTGTCATCGCAAACACGGACCCACCGAGGACCCACCGCAGCGTTCGACGAGCCCACAAATGAGTGCCAGGTATGTGAATTGCGTTCCCTGGATAAACAGCATTACCCCATATCTATCCCAGCAAACCCAATAATTAGGCAGATTCCCTGCGGCAAAAGGGGGGTTTGTTTAATGAGCGGATTGGTTTGCATTTCCCATTTGATTTGCGGCCCTCGTGTGGTCGCTGTCATCTTTGGGCGCGGAATTTAATCTGCGGTTATCTCGGCAGTTTGGGGACCCTAGACCAGTGACTTGTGGCATTTCCTTATGCTTCCATTGTTTATGATAAAGCGGTTTACTGGCTCCTAGAGGGCCCTTAAAGAAATAGCGCCTCTTGAAATTATGTCGGTCTTAATTTCTGGTGGGCAAGGTAAGCACAAGGCGTTTAACCTGTAGTTAAGTGGTTAGTGTTAAAATAAATGCAATGTAGTATGTGTGGTTTTTAAATCCTTCCAAAATTGACAAATCTCGGCGAGGCTTTACTAGATCACATTAAGTTTTGCTAAAGAGTATTTAAATAAGTATTCGCTGGTTATCAAGGAAGTACTGGTTAAGTGTTTGATGTAGACAACTTTTGGTTACCAGAAATCTAATAGAACGTACAATGTATATAATAAAAATGTCAAAGAATATTTTAATATATCTTGTGTTTACCAATGCTTACCAGAAATGTACACACAATCAAATTCACGCTTTTTTTTAGAACATCCTAAGACAAATTTAATTTATATTCATAAATATAGAGAGTATCACAAATAAATCTGATTATCAGAATTAAATTTAGCCTATCACATTTAAGGTAAAAAGCTGCAGTTGTCTTTGAGTAGATACGGTTCTATATCACTGATTCTTTTGAAAAGTCTTCTAGGCTTTTAAGTGTTCATTTGGTCCTCAGGAGTTCGTTCCGTTGGTCAATGGGTTGTCAGGTTGTCAGGTTATCGGGTATCTTGAGGTCTGGTTTCTTAATGGACCTAAGCAACCCGTCGGTTCTTGATCTTTGTATCCTGCCGGCAGGCGTGGCACATGCGCCTGGATATCAAGGTTTCGGGCGAGGGATCCGGTGGCAGGCCGTTCATCCGTCGCATGAGGTCCCTTTGCTGGCGCGCCTCCTTGATGAACAGCGTGAGGTCTGGATTTTCCGGCAAGCAGCCGAGCAGCAGGAAGTTCACCGACTTCCGCCAGTACACGGCCGTCGAGTCGAGGGCGGCGAAGAAGATGGCGAACGAGGAGATCAGGCAGAAGGCGTCGAAGGCATCGCCACTTGAAAGCCATTCGCAAACTCCGGGAAGATGGCCGAATAGCCAGGCGCCCCACTGAGCCCGTCCGAGGGCCAGGAGCAGTTCGCGGATGATGCCCAGGAAGGGCTGCCACAGCTGGTAGTCCAGCCACTCGGCCAGTTGGAGCATCAGCCACATCTCGGCCACCAGCATCAGCAGGTGGATGCGATGGCGACAGCGGCGCACATAGAGCGGTCTGTACTGCAGGATGGCCATCAGGACGCCGGAGACGAAGAACAATCCCGCCCAGCGTTGATTGTCAGCCACGGGATGGGTGTACAGGGGATCCAGTGGCGACACCGGAACGTGGGCCAACAGACGCCATTGATTCCAGCGGACAAATATCCCGAAGAACACGATCAGCCAGCACTCGCAGAGATCGCGCTTTAATTCCGAGGAACAGTTCTGAAAGCGAGGCATCTTGGGAAAATTGAAAAAAAAAATATATATATAATCGATATTAGTGATATTGTAGTGAATAATTGTGGAGAGGTAGATGTGTATGTTAACCCGGTAGAAAGGTAGAAAATGTTGTGACTGGTCAAATTTTGAACGGTTCGTCGATGAGACTCTGGGTGGCGACTACTTAGATTGGGTTTTGGATATTTCAATTTGGGTTCATAATATTGGGGATGCTACGGAAATCACAATGGTTTTGAAATCTTTTTTCAAGGGGTCCAAAAGTATGCAATGGAAAATAGAGCGTAGCCTTTTGGAATGAATACATCGGACTTTCGCATTCAAATATATACTTTTAGACGCATTTAAATGTGATTTTAAAAACACCAATATTATCAACGGATTTTGGATAAATTCCTTCCGGTTTCCTTGTTATTGATTAGCATATTTTGCCACTTTAAAATGTTCACTTAAATGAGGCAACAACTGAGGAATCTGTAGTGGCACAGGCAAGTGTTTATGCATCGCTTTCTTTGTTCTTTAATTCTGTCCCCCTCCCACACTTTCTATGTGTGCCCCAGACACACTTGCACACACACGCACACACCCGCACACACGCGCTCATTGAAGACTCGAGGCATAATGGCGGCTACAGTGGAATAAACTCTCTTCCATAAAAACATTTTACATAAATTGCAAACTAATGGGACAACCACTTTCGCTTAGATTTGAGATACAGGATTATCATTTATCTATAGGCTAGAAGTTGAAATCCAAGTAGAAGAACGTTAAGAATAAGAGAAAATGACTTTTTTTAATTTTAAATGTGGTGTGTTGATGGAATGTTGATGCTGATTTTCGTTTTACAAATACCATAGAAAAATACAAATCATAAGCCCAAACTAGAGGTTCAGTTGTATTTTTCTACTTTTCAGACAAATAAAGATAAGATAAATAATTATATCTTGCTATTTTTTGTAATTACTGAATTTCCTTGTTTTTCTCACTATCTGGTGTTCGCCGAAGGCGTTGCCTCCAAGGTGTCTGGTAACTACAACTAACCCCACCGTGCCACCACCCCACCTGCTGCCACCCCACCCCCCACCCCCCTCCCCTCGTCCCCCTGTCCCCCTGTCTCATGCCCGAAGTAAACAGCATTCGAGGGTAGTGTAAACAATCATTGACCTCGTTCATATTTCTTGGAGCGTTCGCTCATTTGCCTTTGGCTCGAGTCCCAGACGTTGACTCTGCCTGGTCGCAATTAAAATTGTTGTTTAGCTAGTTGCCCCTGGACGACGTCGCCCACCCCTCCACACACCACCCCTCCACACACCACCCCTCCATCCCATTCCCCAGTTAGCTTTTCTGGGGGGAGGGGGCAGAATGGGAATCATCCGCCAGGCGGCATTTGGGCACCAATTAGCCGCCGAAAAAGAGGCTAAAATCTGATTCTGTTGCGATTTCTGCGCCCCGGCAAATGATGATGAGCATAAAGCACAAAGGCAAGAGGCCAGAAGGAATCAAAAGGAATCAGAAGGAATCAGGAGCTGAAAGGAGCGCCCAGAGCCGAAAAGAGCCAAATCACGATAGGCTCAGCGACAAAGACACAGAAAAGTGAAACAATCAGGATTTGGGTAATCCGAAAAACCGAACTGCGGCATACGCTTTTATATAGCAATTTCATTTTAATGGGCATACTAAGTATGAACCACTATACTTTCCATAACTTTTTTTGATTGAAGAAATAATCCACTCAGGAAAGGGAATGGCATACTGAACTTTACACTTGCATGGTGAATATAATTTATGCAGTTTGTAACAAAAGTGATTGTTCTGATGCTCTCTAGGGGCTTTAAATGCTATTAAAATTGAAAATGCAAAAAGTTATTGCCAACGAATTAAAAAACGTAAAGAATTAAGTCAATGTTATGTTTAATAGGAATAACAACGCAATACAAAAAATTCTATAAATGAACAATAAGCTTGACAAATTAAAAATTTAATTTATTTAATTTAAATTACAATGGTTTTTTAGTGGTCTTTTTAAATTTTGACTTAGAAATACAAAGGAAAAATAAAGCGGACCATTCCAGCTTCATTTCACAGTCATATTACCCCTTTTTTCCGAAGAGCATCAAACTTTGCCCGAGGATGGTGAACCGAGAGGCAAGTTTAAGCGGCTTGTTTGCAGCCCGGCCATGTTCCCATATCCCATATCCCATATCCCTTGGCCTGAGAATGAGCCTGAGCCTGAGCCTTAGCCCGTGGCCCAATATCGAGGCAGGCAATCAAGGATAACGCACATTATCCCAGGACCCACATATGGAGGGAAGCGATGGGGTCAGAGGGTTGGAAATTGGTATTTGGTATTTGTATGTGCGGCGCTGCGACGCCAGCATAGCGCTGGTTTAGCATTTTTATGTGTCCCGACCTCCTTTCCTTTCCCTGGCCTACAGAGACATTATGTAGTTGGCTTTATCGCAAACGATTTGCCAAACACAATATGACGTCGACCAGGACCCAAGACCAAGACCACGGCCAAGAACGGGACCAAGTCAATGGCAATGACAATGGCATGGATGGCATGGACCACAGAACCACATACACATTAAGGCACATGTGCGATAGTTGGCAGGCGACCAAAATGTCAGAGTTTTTAATGAGTTGGAAGGTATGGTTTTTGGAAAAGAAGAGGATTGGTAAATGGAACTTAAGACAATCCTGCGTTTTCCGTGTCTTAGTTTATAGTCTATAGAAATACAATTCTGATATAAGCCTTTATATTTTAATAAATAAGATCATTTGTTATTATTTATCTTTAACTGGTTAAAACAACTTGTCTAGATTATATAAGAAATTGGGCTACAAATATGTTTGATTAGTAGTAGGATATTTAAGACGCAAAGTAAACACCAATGTTCGGGATTTTGTACCTGTTTCTTGCAGGAAAATAGAGTTTATGAAAACAGTATCTAACAGAGGAAAAGAAGTGTTTCCGATCCCATAAACTATATATATATTCTTTATTAGCCTTTTATCTTATTTTTTAATAAACAATATTACAGGCCTAGTCAAAAGTTGTCAAACGCTTTTAACGACTTAAAAATGATAATTAAATTCCAAGTTTTATGCTAGCTATTTCCGCTCGATTTTTTATGCGATATTTTATGTTTATTTTTGTGTCTTTTTCCCTGTTTCCCCACTTCAATATCCGTTGCTTTGTCGCCTGTCCCTTTTCTTAATATGTATTTCCCACACAGTGGCCATTTTTTTTATATATTGTGAGCTGTTTTCGTTGCCCTTCGTTGTTGTAGTCAATGGAGCGACGTTGGAGGCTTTTGTTTACATGACGCTGCTGACTTTTTAGGGTCCTTCCACCGTTTATATGGCGCATAAAATTAATAATAACAACAAATGGTCCAGATGGGTGGGTTGGCAAATGGTAGTTAAAGAGGGCCAGCTTAAAGAGAGGCGGATCATTAAGGCGGAAAGGCTGGGATAGTTTGGGGAGCCCAGTAATGCAGTCAGGGATCCATCCAGGAATCCACCTAGGGATCCACCCAGGGATCCACTCAGGGATCCACTCAGGGATCCACCTAGAGATCCATCCAGAAAACCACACTGGGACCCACCCTCATCATCAATTAGATCTGAGTTTTTAATATTTTGACAATCTGCCAAATCAGTTGCAACTTGCTCCCGAATCCCTACTCAAATATCAAGCATACGCCACGTTTGTTGGCCCCCAGCACACAGCACCCCGCACCCAGCACTCCGCACCCAACACCCAGAAACCAGTAGCCCCTCGATGTGTCTGCCCCTCCCCCTCTGTCTGATGCTGGCGCCGGCATTCGGTGAAGTGTCTGGAAGCTGTCGCCTCTGGCTGGGATGGTGGGAGGGGGGGGAAGGGGGTGTTTTAGGGTGGTTCAGGGTGTGCCAGTTTGTGGGGGAGGGTGTTCTGCAGTCGAGCACCCGTTCACACGACACTTCAAGTGTTCCGGGCCACCCACTCCGCCGCCTCCTTGGGCTCTTGTTTGTTCCTGTTTTTGCCACTTTGGAAGTGCGTCTATTAATTTTCATATCGCCAGCATTTCTCAATACTCTCGTGCTTGTCCTTCGCTCATTTTGGCTTATGAGGCACTTCCTCGTAAATTCCCTCGGCTGCCAAACACGCACACACACTCGTCAAATTAAATAATTATGCGCTTAATTATTTTTGGGCGTGGGCGTGGGTGAGGGCGTGGGCGTGGGCTTCCGTTGGGGAAAATGTTTAATTGTTTTTTAATTTGTATTTAAATGTGGCAGGCACTGAGCCAGCTAATAGACATCTGCGGCGCGTCTGAAAAGTATTTTTTGTGGCTGCAGAAAGTGGGTGAGCTATGCCGGCTATTAAGCCACTCTAAGCTCCTCGTACAGATTGATTTCCAGCAGCAGGCTGCGTCAGCTGGCATTTTCCCTGTCCCACCGCTTTTCCTCTAGTTTTTCCTCCCCGTTTTGTTGGCACTTCCCTGCTCGTGTGTGTGCATAATTTCAATCCGAGATTTATGCACTTCGTTCTGCATTTGGTTGCCTCACCATTGTTTTTTCCTCAGCTTGTGCTTACTTCGTAGCCAGTTTTTATGGCCGTTGATTAGCATAGTGGTTGTTGTTGCACGCATTCGAATGCAAGTGCCTTGAATTTGTGTAGCTCTAGCACCTAAGCTTCAGTCTTTCGTTTCTTAATTTCCTCTTTGCTAATGCCCGTTTTTATTTTTCTGTTTTTCTACATTTTGGGATTTAGTTTTCGGATAACTTTAAGGAGTTCTTGGAATTTGCTCGGCTTTTACTACTTCTTCTTCTTGGATCATTAGCTTATTTAACAAAACTGCAAAGCAATGCAGCCGCCCCTTACTTTTTGCCTTCGGGGGGCCATTCGCCAACCGAAAATTGCATTTGCCTTGCTCCCGCCTAATGCAAAACTTATTATCCGCTTGTGCTGGCTTACGTGCCCCAAGCCCCTTGGAACTATTCGCTCCATTCCCCTCCTCCGCCCCCCCCCCCTTCCCCATTCCTCTTGCAACGCCGGCGGCACTCGCCAAAAACTGAACACAAAATTTTCGTTGGCTTGAGGTTTGCTCAGCCTACTGCTCCTTAACCCCTTTACCTCACCCTCCCCCTCCCCCTTCCCTTCCCCTTCGCCTAAGCCATGTGCAGTGGGCGCACTAATTACGACAAGGTCGGTGCACTAATTAACAATGGCTTTAAGGCAGTTAAACGATATGGCGCTCGAGCAAGGGTGCAAAATACCCGAGGGGAGTGAGGGGGGGGGGTGTGGGGCATTGAGGGCGGAACCAACTTTGCATCAACAACGTCAGCGGGGTAAACTCCTCGACACGCCGACCCTTCAGCCCGGACCACGCTGCGTATGATAAATATTTTTGTTCCGCCATCCGCACCGATAAGCGCAAAGGGAAATACCACCTGACCACATGGCGTATGATAAATATTCCAACTGATTTGGATAGTGGCTAAAACTAGATTCCTGACTGTTTACACTATTTTGCATACGAATTCAATTTAGTTTCAGTTTTGGTTATATTTCAAGCAAATGGATAGTTTACAAAATTTGGAACAGAAATGTAAAAAGGGTTTTTTAAGCAACACACCTAAAGGAACAAATTTCTAAAAATTACAAAGTAATCCTAACTCTTAATGTATGCCCTTGTACTATGTTAGCTTCAGTTTTGTAAACTGTTTAATCATTTGTAATAAATAAATTCAATAAATGAATAAAACAATTTAGGTTATTTCTCATAAAAATTATATATACTCACAATACCTTTAAATAGGTTCCAAATGTTTGTTCCAAATGGTTTTCAGTAATATTAATGCAGTTCCCTTGCTTTATAGTTGCCATCAAACATTTTACCTTCTGATGGTGATGAGCAAGCTTACAACATTTAAAGCAGATTAAAATACATAATTTTTCCTTTTTTTTTAAACTTTTTTAAGCTTTACAAATTATTTTATTTTAAGAGCAGAATTTTTTTGAAATATCCTCCACCCCTATACGCAAAACTTCCCACGCTGCTTATGATAAACAATTTTTTCGTTGTTTATGCGCTGATAAGCGCTGTGGGCGGTCAGGTGCTGCCTTGCGGGAGAAGGGGTGGAGGGGGCGTGGCGTTGGCGTTGGCGTGAACATCGCTGATTTAATGCGATTAGATTAGATGAGATTTTCCGTTCGCGATACGATTTTTCGTGGCGCCAAAAACCCAGCAGCTGAGCGTCGTCAATGGCCAGCGGAAAAGCTTCGCCGCAGCATGAGCTTTTTGTGTCGCAGAAGGAAAGCTCCTGTGGTGAGTTGTGGGAGTGAGAGGGCAATATGGGGCGGAGGGGGGAGCGAGAGGGAGCGAGTGGCAGGTTGGCACTCTGGCGTGGGAGTTAATGCTCGTAATGTCGAATTACTGGCGTTCCCCGTTCCTTTCCGCATACCTTCTGTATTTATTCGCTGGATATTTTTAAGCCGCTGCCTTTTCTTGTCAGACTCACGCACACTCGGCCACACACTCACACACACTCACACACGCACACCCGCACACACATGGCTGTGGCACATATTAATGCGCTAATATTACGCATACGGCACGTTGCTCCCATTTTGGCTGCATGAGTTTGCTAGCGCTACTGCTGGGCTTCCTGCACAGGTGCGCGCAAATGAATACAAATGGAAATGAAAATTGAAATTAATAAATTGCATTACATAATTAAAAAAGCGAAAAGCCGCAAGAGAGCCGACCTGGGCCAGAAATGGTCCTAATTAAATGCATTGACCGCAAAACTGTCGGGGACATTAAGCGCGCGCCAAGGGAATACACATTCCCCGCAGATAGGAATTTAAATATTATCCGATTTCATGATCAGATTTCGGCTGTCAAATGCCCGAGGACGTTTACCAATTTGACGGCAATCTCTTCTGCTGGATCTCCAGGCCCCCGGGCATTGTGGTTGCTGGGCCGCCCAGCTCCTTGAAGGGGATTTCCACCAGTGTGACCAGAGAGCCGCCCGAGGCACAGAAGAACAAAAATATAAAGAGAGCCTGTGCCACTTGATGCCATTAAAATAAGCCAAGAATTTATTTATTTATTTAAACTACTCGGGCGATATCTGTGTTGGCTTAGCTGCTTTCGCCACCATCCTTGTGCCCGAATCCCTCACAGCCTCATGACTTCCGGCGGCTCCTTCTGCTGCTGCTTCTTCTGCTGCTGCTGCCATGATGATTGCGTTCTGCAGAAAGCTCTCGGGGATGCCAGGGAGTTGCGGGGGAGTGGCGGAATCACGAGGACGCGCCTCGTTAAACTTCGTCGGCGGCTCGTATCAGCAAGGACATTCGACCTACTGTTGATTGCGCTCCGCTCCGAACCGAAGCTTTTCAGTTGATTTTCAGACCGTGCCACGAACGGAACGAAAACCCGAGCCCGGAGCCATCCGAGTCCTCTGTCCGCATCCGCATCCGCATCCGTATCCGCATCCGAGTCCGAGTTCCGCCCATCCAAAAAGCCGGAGTCGCCGCACCCGCATCCGCCTCTTTCTAATTTTTTTGTTTCTGTTGTTGTTTACTCTTGGTGGAGCGCTAGCAAATGTAAAAAACACAAAACAAAAAAAAAAACAAAAAACAAAAAACCGAAGCCAAAAAAGCCGAAAAACCAAAACCGCAGACGAGAGGAAAGAAAAAAAATCTGTTTGGAATGTAAGACAAATTCTGGAAAATATTTTAAGCGATCCCAATGTTTGTTTATTTGGTTTTGGTCTGGTGTAAAGGGTTAAAGCCGGGCAAATATTGCTCAGCCAAGTGCGAGGCTCCTGCCAGTTGATGTCCTGTCAAAGAGCTCCTTTATTGATAAAGCCACACGAACACAAACACAATGGGCCAGCTCACACACACACATACACACATTTAGAGTCAAGTCTGACAACTTAACGACTTACTTAGCCAAAGAGCCAAAAAAAAAGCAAAAGTGGGAGAGACAAGAGCCGAATGAAAAATGCTGAAAAGGTACGAGGACACAGAATAACATGACCCCCGAAAAAGTATTGAATAAGGGGTGGAGGGGGAGGGGGGGGTTCAGGTTAGACTCCGCCTAATAGACTGCCCAGGACAGCCCCCAAAAAAAGGGTAACTGAGAGCCGCACACAAGCACATTGTAACTGGCACTCCCTCTCCAGTGATAAAATATTCAATTTTTGTCCCCACTGTTTGTTTCTCCAGAACACGTATACCCTATATCATCTTTCTGTCAGCTTGGACACTTTGACATAGGTTTTCCATTGGTTAGAGGACACAACATTTGATTAAGCTGAAGATACCTTACATATACATAGTCGAATCTTAAAAAGTTATGGACAAACATGTCTTATCTTAATCTTAGTTGTAACTTGAATCATATGGTATATGCTGGTTATTATATTAAGTGGGAAAACTTTTTTGCTGAGTATTGGACTTTTGGGGTTTTAAAACTCACTGTTTTATTCTTATAATTTTTAGACACTTAAGGGGTGCATACTATTTATATAAATTATTTAAATTTAACCTGTAAAATAAAACAAATCTTTATTATTAGGCAAGATATTATTAAGACCTATATTTAAAATATAATTTATTAAATATCGCTTTGTATTCACAGAACTTTATTTAATTTTCTAAAATTCACAAAATATAAAGTGTATTATTTGCTCGCTTACATAATTCGGACCTTTTCAAGGGTATTAAAAACATCGGTGTATTGCCCAAAATTTTCCACCACCTTGTCTTATATTTTTTTTTTTTGCTAATTCCGCTTTGCTCTCTGCTGTCCAATGGATGCTTCTTCTTTATCCCGCTGTTGCGCTTTGACGCGCCAGACGACGTCAGCAATTCCAGCCCCCCTCCCCGAATCCCCACGCCCCAGATATCCGCCCACCCCTCCCCCCTCTACAGCCTTCGCCTGTTCGCGTGGCTTACGAAATTGAATGAAAATAATCAAATCAAAATGAAAGAGGTTATGTAAATTTCGCTCACGTGTGTGTATGCTGCTCGGTTTCTGTGTGTTCGGGGTACTTTGCCTGTGTGTGAGTTTCTGTTTATATCCGTTTCCCCGTCGTTCTTTCGACCGAAAGTAACTTTTATTACTAATTTCTAGCTCTGCTTTCTCCGCTGGCATTTGCATAATTCACAGGGCCAAGTTAATAGCCAGACACATGAGATGCCGGCAAACTTTGGAGCCCGAAATTGTTTTGTAGGATTGGCGAAAGTGGGGTTGCCAGCTTATCTGCTGTAAATAAGGCAAGTTTTTGGGTAAAAATTACAGTGATAAGCTGTTGGGGGCGACGGGGAAGGGGGATTCAATTCGGGGTGTGTGAAGTGCTCAGGTAACTAATGGGATTACCAAGGACATCGGAGAGGACTTGGCAAACAAAAGTTAATGCCATTTTCCCGATAAGAAAACCAGCTGACGAATCAATCTTCAATCAAACACAAAGGACCGCAATCACTGGACACTTTTGAAACTCGTTCTTCAGCGACGATTTTGCACAATTTCAAACGCAAAAAAATACTTGGTAAAAACTGGTACAGCAAAAGCTGCCACTTCCTCCGTTTTGCCGACGTTCCGGAAAACTTTGGCTGGCTGCCCAAAATTGCAATTTCTTGATTCAAAAAAGGGGGGGCTAAACTCCAGCTGGCGTGAATAATTGTTTGCTTAAAAATTCCATTAAAAGGCGAAATAAACCAAGACGTGTCTGCTCCTCCGTTAAGGCAGCTTCGTATTAAGGCATCCTAAAATGTGGTCAGCACAATCCTTAATGAATGTGGTGGTGGTTGGTGGTGCGAGGGTGTTTGAGACATTGTTTATATCCTAATTTATAAAGGCAACTTATCGCTGTGTTTGAGTTACGCCTGGTTGGATGAAAATTATGATTTTGAAGCAGGCAAAAAGTTACGCAGAACTCCTGCAAATTGAGTATTCACTGGGGTGTTCCTAATTTATGGGCATCGAAATTTTCATCCCTTTATTCAGAAGTTCGACCTGTTACTGGCCGGCTATTCTTGCCATTGCCTAACTTACTTAGCTCAAGTTTGATCGAGTTTCAGTTTGATTGCCCCGGCCCAAGCAATTAAAGCGAGCAAGTTGGGACCAGAGCAACGCCTTTGTCTCCGTTTCACGTTTCCCCGAAGTTGGCGAAAATACCAAACAAATTAGCATTAGAGCTCGTTAGCCGAAGACACCGTTCCTGTCTTTGCAAACTTGTTTACAAGTCGTTTGGCAATTATTCAATTCAATGGCAACGCCGATGGCCATTTTATATAATTTTCTGCGATGAGTTGGGCGGCATTGGTGGGTGAAAGTTGGGGCAAATGCATTTAGAGCTGGCCGGAAATCGCGTAATGCCCCCGGACAGCCAGGTGGAGTGGGTATAGGAATAGGATTCAGAATGGGAATGGGAATGGGAATCACAATCAGCCATGACTGACACTGAGACAAGACAGAAGGCCACGGCGGAGGCGCCTTAAAGTATGCTCCGTTTTCTTTCCTTTCAATTTCCGACTCTGACAGACACAGACATGGACATGGACATGGACATGGACACTGGAGCTGGAACTGAAACTGGAACTGAGCCGGAGGAGGAAGACGAGGACGAAGTCGGGGACGAGACAGTCGCCCTAAGCAGCTGGCACAAACAACTTCCGTGGGGAGGGGCGTTAGGGCCAGGATGAAAAGAGGGGGGAGGGCAGGAAGAAAGGTGTTGGGAAAACAGGGGGGTGACTGTTCAACTGGGAAGGGTAAAAGGACAGGGACACTCAAAGGGACATGGCTGTGGACTCGAATGTGAACGTGGCACTGGACACATCGGTGGGTCTCTATTCGTTAGCAGTTGCATCACCATTTCTATGGCAACATTTGCCCTTTTCAGCTGGAATTGCTTCCTTTGCTTATTTTTTTGCCCACTGACTCTCGGGGCGGAATGCCCAAAATGCCTCCCCGAATGATCTTTAAAGGGACGCTCGAGAGGGGAATCAATTTTCACAGCATCTTATTGTGTGGTGGCTTATTCATGCCCTGGTCATTCGTTTTATTATTTTCTAATTCATTTCCCCTGTTGGCGACATTTTTTCTTTTCAACCATAGACCTATAATAAATATTTGTGTTCTATTTGCTTATAGATTGTATTTATTTATTATTTTGAAAAAGTTTTTTGAACTAGCAACGCACCTGCGTCTTGTGTTTTTGATGATTTACTGTGTTTTGCTTCTAAATTTCTCACCATAAATAGTATTTTATTCAAGAATGAATAATATTTTTGGGAAACGACCCCCGGCCGTTTTTGCTCCCTCTAGATGCTAATAAATTTTATAGTTTCTCTTCTGGCTAATATCCATATTATATGGCCATATTTAATCGATTTATTCCGTTCCAGTTGTAACTTCATTGTGCAGCATTTCCAAGCTGGATCTGCTGAATAATTTATACGTGTTCCGGACTCTGTTTAATTTTCCTTTCTGCCATGAGCCATCAGTCGGGGACCCCCTCCCCCTTCCCCCCTTCACTTTCTCCCACTGTCAGCAGTTAACTTTGGGCACATCCGTCGAGAATTGTTGTCGTCGTCGTCGTTGTGGCCTGTCCACACGTTGACTTGCTGTGGACTTCAGCTGGAGCTGAAGCTGAAAGTTCCATCAAAAGTTGCCTCCGCTGTCGGGGCCATTTTCTTCGCCAGCTTCCGCTTGGGGCCATCAAAATTTGTCCGCAACTCGTGAACTCGTAAAATGAAATATGAAAATGGGCGGCGGGCAGATAGATCTTTTACGATTGCGCGTTATGCAAGACTCTGTCTAATTTGTCATGATTTCTTTGCGGACTTCGTGCCTAATTATTGCCTCTGCTGTTGCAGGCCCATAAATTATTATTAGGGCACACACACGTGAGGGGGTCGCTTCCCATTGCCAATCCAAAGTCAATTAAAGTCTCACGCAATTTGCTTGTCAAGTGGCAACAAAGAATTAAAAAAGTTTCCACTCCGCCACCAGGGGGAATCGAAGGGGAAGGGGAATGGGGCAAAACTTGCCTGGGAAATTATTAAAATTTTAATTACGCAACTCCACGGAGGAAACTTGTAGACATCGCTCTGTCGTCGCTGCCATTGTCGTCATGGTTGTCGTACACAAAACACAAAACTGCAAAAGGTAAGGCAAACAGGATGTTCACTGGCTTTTTCAGGACGACCATCCAATGCCCTGCACTTCCATTTAAGGTCTTAAAATACTTGTATTTCATTTTTCAACTCAACTGGTTAATTGCTTGGATAAATCATTGGGGGCTATAATATACGTTTATCTATCATTTTCCAGGCTGAAGTCTATTTTAGAAATATTTAGTGATATTTTAGTAACAATTACAATGTAAATATGGAACTTAAATACCAAGGCGCATTCTAATGAATTATTATTATGTACAAATAAATTTAAAAAAGTTTAACAAAAAGTCTTAGGTTTATTAAACTATAGACATATATTTGTGCAATTACAAGTTATGTATATTTATACTGTATTATAAGAAATTTAAACGTATCCTCGAATACCATTTACTTAAACTGCGGACATTGCATTTAGTATAGGAAACAATATTGCCAAAATGAAGTGCTATTTCGGTGTATGGAAATGAGGAATTTGGTTGAAATTGCCAGAAATTGTAGGCGAACCGTGCGATAAAGCCAGCCCAAAACCCAGCGCCGTAAGTTTCGGCTCAACTGAGTTTAGTTGAGTTGAATGACGCACTGACGGATGGCCCGAGGGGCAAAGGGGGGGGAAGGACCTGAAGGACCCGAAGGACAGTTTGCCACCCCCTCATTGTGCTGCGGCTGCTGTTGTCGTTGCGGTTGTTCTTTGCCTTGTTTTCGGTGATGTTCGAGGTGGTATGTTGGTGGGTGGTGGGTGGGTGGCGCCAATGGTGCTGGTGTTGCTGGCTCACACAGAAAGCCAGCGTTGACGTGCTTAAATATCAAAGTACCCTTCGCCTGGGGGGCAACGGCTCATCAGGATGGCAGGTGCAGGCCCTTGACAGTGTGCAGTTTTTTCGGCCACTCTGCTTAGGGATGATGACTATCTTTAATCTGCTGCCACTTGTACTTGCAGATCGAACCGAGGTTGAACCGGGATAAGGCACGCTCCTCCAATTACCTGCTCTTACTGACCCACTTGGCCAGTTAGCCCAGAAAAACACAGGAGGAGAAGGACGACGAGACAAAGGACGAGGAGGAGGAGCACCATCAGCATCAGCATCGGAAACAGGAACCTTCACCATGGGCAAGAAGAACTCCAAGTTGAAGCAGGACACCATCGATCGGCTGACAACGGACACATACTGTGAGTACATCTCCATCTGCCACATATATCTGGCTGCGCATTCGGGCCACAAATCACCAATCACGGCCTGGTGCGTTGGCAGCCTTGAACTCCTCGAAATGAGTTACGAGTTACGAGTGGTCCGGTGGCGTTGCCTGAAAGCCTTTTTGGCAGCTCCGGTAATGTCCCATGCCCACAGGCTACGGCGCTCATATATCAGGGCGAAAATGTTCTCGCTGTTCTCGGGAAAAGCGCAATCCTTTTCAACTGCTCATTTGCCCCGCAACTGGCCATTCATTATTTCTGGGATTTGGTCAGCAAATTTCATTTTACTTAGCTGTGGATGGCCAACACATTCTTAAGCTCCTTTTCTTTATCGCCGGGTGGTAAAATGCAGCCATATGCTTACAGTTTTTACAATAAAAGCAGTGGGTCTTTTAAAAGCAATACATGAAAATGATTTACTACTTCAGATTTCTCAGAAAGATTTCAATAATAATTGATGCTACACAATAGCATACCACAATACAATGCAGATTCTGAGTGGGATCTTTTCCGAAGTCGGAGTCTAGGAGTGGGGGTATTTATTCCGATTAGTTATTTTATGTTATTTACTTCCCAGTAATTTCATTAGTTATCCATTTTCCTGTCATTAATTCCTAATTTAAACAATTTTCATTTTCATGTAACTCAAATAATTCCACGAAAATATAATGTGTACAATATGTATAATTTAAATATAAATATAATAAATGAGCTACATAAAATGTAGGGTGAATTATAAGGTAAATGCTATTGGGAACACAGGATCTATAGCGAAAAAGTTACTAAGATCGCATACATTTATTTTATGTCATTCAAATAAAGTACAGGCGTCGATGTTATTTAACCAAAATAAGAGTGTGCATACTTATCAAAGTGAGTGTACGCCGCAAACTGCAAAGGCAGGTATGAGAAAATATTGGCTAAGCTTGCAAGAATTAGGTGGGTCCATGACGAAGTAAAGGTAAATTCTCCTGACTTTGTCCTTTTGAAACAAAAAACAGTAGTATTTGCTGTTAGGAATTTTCGTTTCTTTCAATTTAGATTGTTATTGGTTCACAATTATCTTTTATTTTTATACCCTTGCAGAGGGTATTATAATTTCAGTCAAAAGTTTGCAACGCAGTGAAGGAGACATTTCCGACCCTATAAAGTATATATATTCTTGATCAGGATCACCTCCTGAGTTGATATAGCCATGTCCGTCTGTCCGTCTGTCCGTCTGTCCGTCTGTCCGTCCGTCCGTTTCTACGCAAACTAGTCCCTCAGTTTTAAAGCTATCTGCTCGAAACTTTCCCAAAAGTTGTCTTTCTATTGCAGGTAGTATATAAGTCGGAACGAGCCGGATCGGGCGACTATATCATATAGCTGCCATATAACTGAACGATCGGAAAAGCCATAACTTTGGTGTTTTTAAAGATAAGAAGTTGGGACTTTCTATGGGTTTTATTTTTGGCCAATCAATCCGACATACCGAATTTCATAAGGATCGGCCGACTATATCTTATAGCTCCCATATAACTGATTGATCGGAAGTGCCATAACTTTGGTGTTTGTAAAGTTAAGAAGTTGGGATTTTCTATGGGTTTTATTTTTGGCCAATCAATCCGACATACCAAATTTCATAAGGATCGGCCGACTATATCTTATAGCTGCCATATAACTGAACGATTGGAAATGCCATAACTTTGGTGTTTTTAAAGTTAGGAAGTTGTGATTTTTTATGAGTATTAAGAATGCATCATATGAATAATATTGGAGAATATAATTTACAGAGTATTCTGCAAGGGTATATCAACTTCGGCTCCGCCCGAAGTTAGCTTTCCTTTCTTGTTCACACTCCCATACTGTATGTCTTCTCTCCACCACGTCAAAAACGGAATAGGATGATTGTTGACCGTAACCCCACGGGTATGCCTTTTAACATAGATCTCTACCGCTGACAGCTGTATCTGTCAACCCTTTCCAATGAATAACATCTGATGGTCTAATACTAATATTGGAAAGAAGCTGACAAATAAGTGACTGATTAATTAAAAATTGCAATTGCAAATCCAATTTCATAGAATTCTTCATTTTGTGAAGCAGTTTTAAATGGCTTGCATTTTTATGCATTTGCATCTTATGGAAAAAAGTCTGATGTTTAATGAACTTTGAAATAAAAAACAAACATCAAGGCATGAGCGGTACTTTACTTAACCTCATGTAAATGCAAAAACCAATAAACTAATTTAGCTGTCAAGTAAGAGAATGTCTTTGTCAAAGAAGCGTTTATAGGGTGAATCGATCAAGACAGTTCAATTAAATTCCAGTTCAGTTGTCATTGAAATACCACCAATTCCAGGGGAAAAGTACATACCCCTGCCTTAAGATCTCACAGGGAACACTGTGAACTTTCTAATTTGTTTAGTTGCCACAAAATGTAGCAAAATTGGTTGCCCGTTGAACACATTTCGGTTCGATTCGATTCCGTTGCCCTGCCTTTGCAGGGTATGGCCCATACTGATGGCCCCCCAAGGCTTGTGTTCCATTTAATTTTTTATGTAATTTCTCTTGGACATCCACACACGCGCACTCACAGCGAACGACGGAGCACACAGTTTTATATGTTCTAATAGTTGCACATGCCAGTGCGCCCCGAGGGACACTCCGCCACGACCCACCTCGTCCTGGGCCGAGTCCTGCATCGGAGGCGCCTCCTTTGGAGGCCTCCTACTCCTCCGGTGGCCCATTGCGCTTCGATTGCAGTTCGAGCGCCTGGCTATATGGGCTTTAAGAGTTTCCTTTTATTGTTTATTGCCTTGAGTGCGCCCATAAGTAGGCAATACTTTTGCCTCTCTTTTCTCCTTTCTCCTTTCTCCTTTCTTTTTATATGTTTCATTGCCATTTGTGAGTTCCAAGTTAGCGTTCTTTATGCAGTGCGTTTAAAGACGGCTTATGGCATTTTGATATTATTCGAAATTCCATTGAATAGCTTAGTTTCCGATTAGCGGTTTGATGGGTCTCTATTTTATGGCAATAAATTGCGGAGCAATTGCGTTTGTCCAAAGAGTTATGCGGCCAATAAATGTGGTTTTAGTGTACTCACCAGTAGTAAAATTAGACGGCTAATTCATTAGCTTCCAATTTGGAGGACTAATTAGCTTATTAGTTGAATTTATAAGTTCAAAATTCAAAGTATCTTATTTTTTGTGGTATTATAATAAATGGTTTTTAAATAATCTGAAAAAAGGCACTTTTCAGGAATTTCGAAATAGTATTTGTATTTGTTAATTAAGTGTATCTTTAAGTAAATTCAGATATTTGTAAGTTACAAAGTTGGTTCTTATAGTACATATATGTACTTTAGAGTCAATTTTAATTGTCCTGCTATAAAATTGTTTATTGAAAAGGGGCAAAGTGATAAAAAAAAGGAGCATATGGGCGAGGCAAACCCAATGAGAACGCATTAGAGTACAGTAGCTCAATGGTTGACGGGCGAAAGAATAACAAGTTGAAATGTGTGCAACATTTGATTACTTTTCGTCGCCCCTTAGGTCGCCACATGACTTCCCATTTGCCTTGCCTTTACCCTTTTTTTTTCACCCCTTCTGCCCTCCTTCTGCACCCCATTGAAAACCCCCTCTCCTCCTTTTTTTTTACCCCCTCCGTAGCCCCCTTCTCGCCCCTCACACAGCATGCATGGCTTTCATGTCAATTTCTGTTTGTTTTACGCTTCGACAAACAGTCGCAGAATGGAGGGGGCATGGCGCTGTGGCGGGGCTTGGGGCCAAATCGCTTATAAAACTAAAATGCACGACCCTTGCCGAGGGACAAGGGACCCCGACAACCCCCCTCAACCCACACCCCTGGCTTACGACACGCTGCAGCAATGTCATATTGCAATAGCATTCGGAACCGCATTCATTTGGCTTTGGCACATGCATTCCACTATGCAAACAGACAGCGCCGGGGATGTCGAGGATTGGGAAAAGATGCTATGTCCTGTAACACCCACATCCATTGCTTCACTGCTTCACTGCATCATTGCCCCACCATTCCACAGTTCCATCCTCCATCCTGTGATGGCTCCTCCCAGCTGATTTCGCACGCATTGGTTGGCACTCAAATTTCACTTCAATGCTGAAATTATTATTGCACTTGTTGTGTTCCCTGTTCCCTGTCAACTCCCCCCTCCCTCCCTCCCCCCCTCTGCAACTACATACATGTGGCTGTGTGGGCGGCTGGTTAAGGGAGCACTCAGCTTGTCCTGACATTGTGTCTGGCATTTAGCAGTGGAAATCAAATGTGTACAAGCAACAAGCAAAGCAGAACAGCACAGAACAGCCAGAAACAAGCAGGCACTGCACTGAAAGAAAAATTCTTGCCAAAGGACAGGGATCTGGTGATGCAGGGAGCATAAGGGAACACTTTTCCGGAGTTAGGGGTCCTGAATCTGGGACATAAGAAAGTGCCACCCATTTCTGCGCTCATAAATTCACTTATAATCAGATTTTAATTGGTGTAACTTCTTTTAAATTTTTCCACCCCTTTCAAAGGGAATTTTAATGATGAACCGTTGCGCTTTCTGTTTTTTTTTTTATTAAGGATATTATAAATTATGCTTTAAGGTTTTTGAAAATTTGCCTGAGTGTAAGAAAAGAAATCAGAAGTCGTTCGAAGGATTGTAAAAGTGGGTGGAGAGCGAGTCTCCATTTCCGGAGTCCTTTCAGTCCTGCCCCTCTTTGCACACATGTTGTGTATAATTTGCTAATGGCGCCAGCAGAGAGAACCCTTCTCCCCCCACCCCACCATGCTTAACCCCCCTCCCCCCACTGAATTGAGCCCTTTTGCATCAGTCGTCCATTTATTGACTCAGTTAGTCGGTTCAGCTCCGTTCCGTTGCATTCTGTTGCTGCCATTCCCTGGCTGCTGCTCGTTTATAGACGCAAATTGATAAAGCATCAAACAGAAAGCGATTCGCCAGGGGAAACAGCAGG